ACTTGTGGTGAATTAAAGTTATTGAACGTTAAAGTTTTGCATTGACAAACGTAATAAAAGAAACTGGTCAGGTAAAAAAGAAAAGAAGAAGTATGAGATAGATAAATGAGAAAGAGAAAATGAATCTTTGATGGTAGACAAACAATCAAACTTAATCAATAGACTATGATTAATTTTCAAACAAATGTTTATTAAAATACCCATAAAATCGGGCCATTATTGAGTTGGGTTTGGATTCGGGTTGAATTTGCGGGTTGTGTTAAAAATCAACAGGTTTACCCTTTAGCAATTATGCTAAGTATGTACGATATACTCCACACTATTATGAATCTAGAAAGAAAAGAAAAAAAATAAATAAATAATTGGAGCAACTTTTAATATCTCTGACAAGATATACACAAAAAAAAAGTGTCGCATAGATTTGGTCATGTTGATTACTCCAAGTCTCCAAGTACTATAGTACGTACATTATACTTTCTGTATATATATAGAGGATATTTTATTTTTATAATTTTTTTTCTTGAAAAAAAAAAAAGCACATTACTGATTTATGGATTTAGTAATTGTCAGAAGGACAACCTTTGTTTTGTTTCGTAAGAAATCTCTATCTTTTCCTTTGAATTTTTTCTTCTCCTATTATTATTATTATTAAAATTTACTCCGTATTATTCTTGGAAAAAAAGGACATGGTAAAGAAATATGGTGGCATGGGATGACAAAAGCTGAAATCACTCATCAATTGTTCCTTTGCATGCATGGGAAGTTTTACTATTATTCTCTTTAGCTAGCTTAGCTTATTTTCTTTCTTTCAAAAAAAATAAAATAAAATAAGACCTGTTATTTTCTTGGCACTATAAATAGAGGCCATTTATGCACCTTCTTATACACAACAAAAAAAATACTCCCAACTCTTGTAAAGATTATTAAGAGTAGTCCTACAAGCTAAGTAGTGTATGTGATATTTTTTGGTGAGTAGCTCCTTGTTGGAGAAGCAGGGCACGTGCAAACCTAGCATACCATTCGCGGTGGTTGCACGTGCTCCCCTTCTCCACCATGGGCTTCTTACCTTCTTTAGTTCTTCCGGCGGCTTTACCTTGAAAACTCCTCTCCATCTTCCTCCATATATACTTGAATTTACCTTGAAACCAAGTGTTCATTTATTGTTTATGTTATTTTCTCTACTTTTAAATATTCTGTTTTTGACTTTTTGATAATACATTACTTCATGTACAATATTCATAATCATGCTACACTATATTTCATGATCAACATCTTTGTGAGAGACTGTTTTCATTAATTATGTGCATGTAATAGTCATTGAAAACTTTGACATTTTTTCTTTTACCCTACACATGAGAATAATGCGTGTAAAGAAAAATAAAATAAAATTTACATAAGAAGTTCAGTGAACATGCATGATAAGATATTTATGTATGTCCGTCGGTGTATGAAAATTCATGTCTTTCATGATAATAAAAATTCATGCATTATTTATGTTTTGAGTATGACATTAAAGCTAATAATTCTACTTTCTTTTTGTTTTTGATAAAAGGCTTTTTTTTCTTCTTTTTTTTTTGGCAAAATAGGTCTAATCAAAATTATACTTGTATTAGTTCTTTTTTTAAAAAAAAAATTATGGCAAGAAAAAGAATCCTAACTGAACCTCAACCCTTAAGTTTTTTTTTTTTTTTTTGGTCTGGTATTTGCAGGCCAGATACTTGTATTCAGTGGCGGGACTATGTAGGTGCATGGTGAGTCACGTGACTCACCAGCAAAAAAAAAAATTGATTTTTTTTTTTAAAAAAAATATCAAAGAGACCTCCTATTATATATAGGCGGTCTCTACCGGTTACTTAGATAACAGGTCTCTTTACTGCTAACATTGTATATGAATATTTGTTGCGCTGCTTTTTTTTCATTAAAGAGACCTGTTATATTTAATAACAGGTCTCTTAAGTTATCTCACTATTTTATTTTTTGTGTACTCCGTATAATTTTTTAATAATTCTTGTACAATAAAGTTAATTTAATGTAATAATTTTATAGTACTATTTGTTTGTAACATGTTATTTATTTGGAGTATGTACTTTCGACTTGTAAGATTGAATTTTTAAGTACTATTGTAGTATGGATTTTTATGTCCTATTTTTGGATTGAAATCATTTTGGTGAAATATATTTTTTTATATATACATATATATATTTTTTAGATTGAAACAAGTGATCAGTTATTGATGGTAACTCACCAGTTTGAAAATTCTGGATCCGCCACTGCTTGTATTAGTTATATCCAACATACATTACATAGCTTAAGTTATAAGCAAGATCTAACATTTGTCTTGTGGGAAATGTCTATAACATTTTAGAAGTATAACTTATGTTACAACTTACAAGCGAATGTTACTCATCATGTATGGTATATATAGTTATGATGGGAGCCTTGATCAGGGACTTATACTAGCTAGCTTGTGCTAACAAACGGCCGGACTAATTAGAAAAGGCTAGGATCGTGGTGATGTCGCGGTTTTAATTGGCTCATGGGAAGGAAGAATACGAGGTTAGTGCTAGAAGAGTAGAAGGTGGTTGTTAATAGAAATTAAATTTGTTTCAAATATAAAGTTTTTTAGACTCGCATTTTGATTTAAAATGAAACAATAATATAATTGCTTTGTGTAAAATATTGAGCATTAATATAGTTCAAATATGATGAACATATTTGTTATATTCATGATTTATATTTGTAAGCACCAAAAGAAGAACAATATATAAAGAGTAATTTACAATTCAACCACCATTTACCAAGCCATCTTACAGTAAGATGGGATACACGATACATACGGTAATAATGTACAATATTGGACAATAATAGTTAATTAATTAAGAAATAATTAGAGTAACGTGTCCTTGTAAAATCAAGATTTTTTTTTTTTTTGTGATACAACAATAAATATTTCATAAATAAACTAATAAATCTATGTTTAGCACACAAATACGCGGTAATTATAGCTAAACCCTAACTAATTATAGAGACACGTTCCAAATAGAGGCGGTAATTTTTATAAAAAAAAGCATGAACAACAATGAATTCAAGCTTGAAATGAGTTGGGTGTAAATCATGCATTGATATATATATAATCATGAAAAATATATACCAAACATTTTCTTCTTTGATTTCATTTTAAAAGAATTTTTAAAGAAGAAAAGAAAAGAATAAATTATGTAATTTATTCTTCGAGAACAATTTAAAATGGCATTTTTATCGTGTCAAAAGAATCATCAATTCTTGTTATTAACCCTAATAGTGTTAATAACATCTATGTTCTTCACCCTTACGATTTCATACGACCGAAAATCGCCACCAAAATCAGTGCAAGAAGTATGCCATAGATCCGGACCACAACTATATTGGTATTGCATAGATGTATTTAACACCGGGGCAGCCGTTGAAGGAACGGACATGAAATTTCTTTCATATTTTGCAAGAGACTATTCCGAGGACAATGCGACCAATACCTTGGATAGAATAAACAACACCTTAATACCGAATCAACCCGATCCTTATATACAACAAGTTTTGTGTGTGTGTAAGGAGGCATTTAGTCGATTGAAGGACGAGCTAGAGAATCGGGTGAATACGATGATTGTGGTTAATAACTCGTTCGAGGAAGCTAAGGTTTGGGTTGAGTATGGCATGGGTTTGATGGATAGTTGTAGAGCGGCTTGTTATGCTAAGCCTCATATTTCATGTCCTTTGGATAAAAATTTAAGGGATACACATGGTGTGTTAAAGCTTCTTGCGATTGTTCTTCAACTTTTGACCGAAGGTAAAATGTGAAAACTTTGTAAGGAAACAAAGATCGATTAGGAATTGGAAGAAGAAAATACATTGTTTGATTGTTAGTTTCATTTGTACAAGAAATTTGTGGTTCGTCGTAGGGTGGATGTTTATTATTCAACCAGCAAATCAGGAAGGGCCGAAAGTTTGATTAGGTGATTTCAATTTATGTAAAAGTCTTTTCTTGATAATTATCGTCTTGTAACCTTAAATGAATGATGTTAAGGTGATTTACCGCCTTAATTATACACACAATTATATACTTTTCTTCATAATACAAATATTAAATAATTGACGTGGTAGTTAAGCTAAGTTAATTATTGGCTTATATGATGCATGATTTTATGCAACTTATTTTAAAAAGTATTGATATTGTAAGGGTTTTCTTTGGCTAGTATATATTCTGTATTTGATTATTTGTGTTCTTTAACTTTGACGATTTGACCTTTTGGCATCAAATATATGTTATAAGTACCATCTAGGGCTACAAAATACATAAAGCCCCTCCCTCCCCCCCCCCCCCCCCCCCCCCACACACACACACACCCTCCTCGATTTTGGTTGATATTAATAAACATGTTATAATTTTCGGAAATTCTCATTGGTATTTTACTCTTACTCCATATGTGTTTTATTGTCTTCTTCATTTTGTAAACGAAAAAAAACTTGTAAAATTCGAGGTAACTCCTAACTCTAAATTATTCCCACTCATAGCATTAATGAGGGTTAAACTTTGAAATTTTATTTTACTTACTTCGTATAATATGTATTAAACATTTCATCTTGTTTCCATGTTGGGTTATATTTGAGGGAACCAGTTTTATAGAGTATGATCTTGTCAATTTTGATTGATGTTCTTTTCTTACCATATAGAGGGAGACACACATTTATTTACTCAATTCTCAATTTTAACCATCCGAGTGCGCTATCTAATTTGTGCTAAATGCTGATATAATATTACCATATTTATCGATGTATCCAATTACCCCACACTGGCTAAAGGTGTTAATTCGAATGACTAAGTCGAGTTTAACTTGATCTAGTCAATTTCAATACTACCTCCGGTACAAATTACTCACAACTTAAATCATTGGACCTACGCAAGTCAAAATCTGAATCAAATTACAACGAGTAAGTCAGGTCAGGTTTGGTTCATATTTTGAACCCACCTTTAATAAAAAAAACAAGGTTTAAAAAGCCCCAAGAAAAACATCTCCTTAGAAGCAAATGGCGGACCAGCAAACAGTGGATACTCCATCGACGGGGACCCTACAATCGCCGCCGCAACAACCACCGCAAACTCCGCCATTTCAGGTGGGGAAGGATGAAATGTTACAGTGCGTCACCGCCTTAGAGGCTGCTCTCCTCCCCTGCTTACCCGCTCGTGAACTCCAAGCTATTGATCGTTCCCCTCATCCTTCTCATCAGAGTAACTTTCTTTTCCTTCTTTTTCATTATTTCTTTCTATTTTCGTTTCAATTTTGTTGTTTTTATGTAATTTGTGAATTACCCAGTTGCCCTTTTTTTGTATTTAATGTCTTTTGTATGCTTGTTTGGTAAAAAAATTAGTTCTTTATTTGGGTTTTTTGATTTCTGACTGTTAAATAGGGTAATTCTGTGGATTGGATTTCTGGGACGAGTATATGTTTAATTGTTGATTTATATGTTTATTGAATTCTGTGTTAATTTTGATTGTAGTTGTTGTGGAAGTGATGTTGGTGATAGAATTTCTGGTTTTGGTTGGGTAAAGAATTGATGAACTTATAAGCCTAATTGTTGTTTTCTGGGATAGGGTTTGTTTCGGCCGATTGGTAGTAGGATATCTTTTCCTTTTGCTCTTTGAAAATAAGTTACTATCCTGTTGGATTTAGGCCACACTGGATGTATTGATGGAAAACAGTAGTAATTGGGTTGGTTGTTACTCGAAACATATGCAACTCTGTCATTAACTTTGTCCTTGTAATTGAGACGAGGTTACTTCTGAGGATTACGTAGAATGCAATACCATTTGTGGTTTCGTCTTTGATAATCAAAATTGCACATAAATCACATCTTTAATTAGGGAAATGGACAGGTTTCTTTGTGTTTTGAAGTGTGTGTGACTATAAGGAAGAGTATAATTCTTGAAGAATATTTGGTTAATTGATGGAGTGCTAGGTGAGGGTTTGGATTTATGAGTTTGGGACATGTTCTTATTATCAGTTGTAACCTATTTAGGTCATTAAGATTCCAATGTCGGTAACTATCCTCTTTGATAGTAGTGGACTGGTTCTTACATTTGTTGTAGTCTGAAAATGCCTAGATTGGTGGCTACTGTAGCCTAGTTGTTGACCGAAAGTCACAATCTAATGTTAATGACTGATGTAAACATCAATCATAAACCGTCATTGGCTGGAGTATTTTGGAAATGCAACACGGCACCGACAGTTGCAGTTTCCACGCATGAACATTATTATGGTTTGGATTTTACACTAATCTGCTATATGCAATCCTGTAGTGCCTAATTGTTACAATTCGCATTTTGATGTGCAAGTGACCTGTTGTTTTAGCCTTTATGTATCTAGGTGGTGGTCCTAAAGAGTTGTGGATTAATTTTCTTTGCTCGTATAGTCGTATGTAATCTGTACTTTGAACTGTAAATGGAGTGCTGCAATCCTCTGTTATTACTCCTAAAGTCTTCTCTATCTCTGAGTATGATCTTACTTTCGGGACAGCAACTGTTGGGGAATCATTTTTTCTGTATCATTGTGCTGGAATCGTTGTTTCTTGATGTTTATGTAAACTTTCCTCTGAGCTCTGTTAAAACACTATTAACATTAACTCATTTGTGTGAAATTGCTAATAATGCTATGCATTGCTTCAGTTGATGTGGAAAGACATGCAAGAGACTTCATGGAGGCTGCTAAAAGGCTTCAATTGTATTTTATCAGTCTGCAACGTGAGGAGCAACCTACCAAGGCCGAAATGCTTCAGAAGGTATGAAGGGCCCTATTGAGATATGGCTCCATTTATATACAAGTTGTAGACATGGTGTGATTATTAGAGCAGATTCACTGACTGGTCGCTTTTCATGTCGTATCAGGAAATTTCTGTCATGGAAGAAGAGTTGAATGTCAAAACAGAGCTTATTAAGAAACAAGAACAGCTGATTCAAGGATGGAAGAAAGAGTTGAGAGAGCAACTTGACAAGCACAAGTCAGAGCTGGAGAAAGTTTAACTTACAGTAGTAGCTTTTCCATCCTGACGTAACATTATTAGTTAATACACTAAAAGAAAGCTAATTGAATTTGTATCTCTTGAAGATGGTTAGTGTTAGAAAATTGCCTCTACTAGTTTCAACTTTTGAGTGGCAGCCAGATTACATACATGTAACCCAGTAGTCTGTACTCTGTAGACCATTCACTGAACGGTTTGGAGACCATGACAGGTTCTATTGTGGAAAACTCCCAATACGATTCAAACTTTCAAAGCTCAAACCCTTGAGTGAGATGAGTGTACAATGTTTTAGCCCCCGTATAGCTTGATTGCTAGTCCTTGTAACATGTTGAGGTTTCAATTTATTATAGGCCTGTGTTAATCAAATAGAAGGTATTTGGCCCTTTTCTCAAGTTCAAGCCATTCACTACATTTCACCATAGGACACCGGGTGTATTCAATTCATTCGTTATATGTAGTTGATGTTTGCAGGAGAAGCACAACATCTTTAGACTTCAGTGCCCAAATTTATAGAGGCAACATATATCAGAGATAGAAATCCAATATGCACAAATTATAATTAAATGGTTAATATTTGTTAAAGCTGTAGGTTGATAAGATGGAAGGCGAAATTCATGGTGCATGCATTTTCAAAAAGTGAGGAAACACAAGAACCAGTATCAATACTATTTGGATTTGATTACAGTTGCAGAAATATATATCCAGCTAAAATTTTACATCCTGAACTATATATAATCAACGTGCCTTAAAAATACCATGAAGAACACATGGCAGCGCAGAAACAACATTACAACTTAAAATTCCCAGACCAAAAGCCATCTAAAAGTATGCAATGTTAAACACAGATGTTCTGTTCATCTATTTCTTTGCATATGTGATTAACATAGCGTTATCAACCATCTTGAAATTCTGAAGTGCGTTCATTGCAACTGTTGATTGCATTTCATTTTCATACTCCACGAATGCAATGCCAGGCTTAGCTTCCACCATACGCACTTCCTTAAAGCCAGGATATTGTCTAAAAAGCAACGACAGCATCAATGTAGTTGCCTCGTGTGGAAGATTCTGAACGAAAAGAATGTTGTTTGGTGCAGCTGGGACCTCTGGAACGATTGGTTTGGCACCCATATATGGGATCTGTGAAAGCTGCAATACTCAACAAAATTGAATTAGATAGGGAAAAAAGACCTTGTTGAATTATTGCATGAATTCTTTGGTAAAGTTTAGGAAACAGGAAATAACAGCTGTCAATGTACAATATTGGTAGTTGCTACTTGCTAGCTTGCTAGCCCACTCACTCTTCCCTAGTTCAACCCTAGGAAACTAATTTTGTTACACCTTTGATTGATATTGGCACACCTCTGTGTGAAAAGTATATAGAAAATTGTCTCATAATGACTGCCCAAAATCAATTTTTGGTACGCCAAAGTCATTTCACTCAGTTAAGCTACAGTTGATGATTTAGTACATGTCATTTCTCACCCTTCTAAAATTTGTAAAAAAGATTTAATTCAATCATGTAGTTCTCAATTATGGTCTCCTCCAATATAGTCCTCCAAGAATTAAGAAAAAGGCAAAAGTCCAGTTCAGTCTGTGCAAATGAAAGAACACTACACAGCACATTATAGCCTTATAGGAACAGACTTAAATACAGAGACATTATTTCTAAATATTATCTGCATGTGAAACAAAAAAAAGTTCCTCAATGCTTAGTGAGGCATTTCTTTCTCCATTTTTTCTTTCTTTTTTTTTTTCATTTCCTTCCTATTTTTAATAATCAACAATAAACTCCAGATTAATCAATGATCAGGGTTTACCCTAGAACCTCTAGTGCCTGTAACCTCACTGAGCAAGTTTTCTAAGGTAATTTTCCATTTTACAAAATGCTCTTACTTACAAAGAAAAAACAACAGAACTTACTTAAATTCCAAAGAGACAAAAACTAATGCAAGAATAGGTATAAAATCATCAAGATGGAAAAATATATACAAATAAAATGACTTACAGGAGGAGCTACACCATATGCTCCCGGATAATTCATGCCCACAGCTGCTTGATTAGCATCCTGTTGTTCCTTCTTTTTCTTACCTGCTAAGAGAATTACAGACAAGCTCAGTAACTAACATGAAACATCGAACATGGAGCAGCTGTTGAACACTCTCAGTAGAGAATTCCAGTTTGCAATCAATTAAAAGCATAAGTTAAACACAACTGACAGTTTCTCTTTCCCTTTTTTGTTCCATGGGTTTTTAATTCTCAAACTTTGCTATCAGTTTGGTTTTCTTCGGCATTCAATACCATTTCAAACACATTAAACAACGTCAGAAAGAACATTTTGCTGTGGCCTAATTATAACTAATCAGTAATCATGACAGACTCGCATGTCCTTCAAGTTCAACAATCAATATGAACGAGCATCTGCAAAATTTGGATGAAATTATTATCTACTCTTCCCAATGATATTACATTCATTTTATGCCTTGTCCTCAACTATAAACTAATCTACAGGAGAGTAGAAGATGATAGTGATTAAGGAATAAGCTTCATCGATAAAGTTATTCCCACATTCCACAAATTTATGACTGCCACATACAAGCGTTTCCCAACGACAGACTTCAGTTAAATTATTTTTTTTTTAAATTCTTTCTCTCTCTTCTCTTTCCTCTTTCTCTCTCCTCTTTTCTTCTCCTCCAAGTCCAGAACCTTCATCTCACTTTCTCAGAGAACACAAAATTCGCAACCATCATCAATAGTCGTCTTTGTGGTTCGTTCGTCGGAGATGGTGGTTTCGCTGGGTGGGTAGTGGTGGTTTGGTGACTCCCTCACCGGAAAACAAGGTTAAGGTTTTTAAGGCCAAATTCATGGCCTTAAAAACAAGGTTAAGGTCGAATTTGGCCTTTTTAGCCATATTTGAAGTGAAATTGAAGTCATTGTTAACTTTTAAAGGTATTTGTTCGATTTAAATTTTTTTTTTAATGGTTTGGATGGATCGGGGTTTGTTTGTGGGTTAGGGGCTAGTGGCAAGGCGTTTGGGGCTGGACTGGTGGTGTGGGTACGGTAGTCGGTGGTGTTGTGGGTTCGGTCAGTACAACGGTCAAAGGTTAGATGATGGTGGTGTTGTGGCCGCCATTGTTGTGGTTGATTGTTGTGGTGGTTGAAATTCGTGGTTTTGTGGCTACTTTAGCGGTGAAATGGGTGGTTAGGGTAGGGGTTACTAGGTCCGGTTAGGGGTTACTAGGTTCGGTTAAGGGTTACTAGGTCGGTGAGGGGTTACTTGGTCCGGTGAGGGGTTACTTGGTCCGGTTAGGGGTTACTTGGTCCAGTCAGGGGTTACTAGGTGGGTCAAGGGTTACTTGGTTAGGGGTTACTAAGTCGGTGGGGTTACTTTGTCATTGTTTGCTAACTTGGCCCCCTGCCGCACCGTGTGGTACCAAAAACGCACTGTTTAAGGAGGTATCTATACCTTCTTCTATGGCAAATCACATTCAATTTCCTACGAGAGAAGACAACTAATCTACACTCTAAAGGAAAAGGTAGGGAATTAGGAGTAAAATATGTTGGACAAGAGCAAAGAATGCCTAGGCGCAACAGGACCCCGATCACTTTTGAATGTTTTTAAGCTTTAATATGCATTGCTTTACTTACGTCTAACCTAAGATGACCTTAGTTACACGATTGCGATTTTCCAATTTCACTAGCTATAGAATGGCTTAAGCCTACCTATGATTAAGTGCGATGCATCGGAGGAGACGGTAAAGCAAGCTTGATTATTAATCGTATACATGTACTGAATCTTTCAAAAGCCAGTAGCAAATAGCTAAAAAAATTAAGAGGGACGCATGCCATGACTAAGGCTGTCAGTAAGATATCAAAGAAATAAGAAGGGAGGAGGGGGAAGATTAGACAAGACCAGTTTTATCTTTCTCCATTCTTACTGTATATCTTAATCAATATACCTTAGCAGAGCTATACAGATCATCCTAGTGTTAGAACTAGAAACAACTAAATTTGATATAAATGTGGACGGATGTGCAACACAAGCATGCACGAACGCATACAATTATGAGTAACTTTGAGAAAAGGAAGGACAAAAACAATATTCAAAAGAACTAAAGATAGAAAAGGAACACCCTGGATGTTTATTATTTGGAATTTTGGATTATGATCCCGCTAATTTCTTCCAAAAGAGATGTTCACAAGAACCCTCATGGTTGACTACCAACAGCAGCAAATAATATGTCATCAGTCTTTGATATTCCCTGATACTATGACAATGAATTTTTCTTTTCCTATTCGGTGGGACATTCCATGGAAGTGGGATTTTTATTTAGCCAATAGCCACACAGCTCAATAAGAAGTAATAGACCTAGACATCACCATCATAAAATTTATAAGCACGCAACAAATGTATTGGCTCAGATGGGGAAGGAAAATGGGAAAGGCTATTGTTGCGCTACTCCTACGGTGACTGTAAGGTTATCGATGTGCATACATTCATTGTTCTTGCATCTAAATACCTATTTATAAAAGTAAGAGGTGGTGTCATCCTTTTTTTTTTTTATTGTAACTTCCCAAAAATCCTAGAAGAATCTTTCCAACTCCATTTAAGACTAGTAGCTTCATGTGGATGGCATGTAGGATGTAGCAAGGCCAGAAACTATATTTAATAATTTTGATTTATTTAGAGAAATACAACATAACTTTTTTGATAATAATAATTAGTAACTATCATGGTGCACCTAGACATCAGTCACATCACAACTCACCTTTTTTTTCATTCTAATTAAACTTTCTAGCAGCAGGGATAACATCAGATTCTATAATAACGCACATATGTGGTGACATTGCTCCCACCCTTCAGCAACATATACGTGATATAAGTATATAACTTATCCTTCAGCAGCAGGAAAAGATTTCTCAATCATTTTTTTTTTGGTCAAAAATTAGTAAACCTAGGATGGGAGTTCTATTCTAACCAATTCTATGAGAAGAAATCCATTGTTGGGCAAATTGCTTGTCACCTAATTTGCTTCAGAAATAACCAGCAACGGCATTTTAAAATGGAAACTTAGTGTAGCACTGAGCACATAAAGAGATGAAAGTGCATACCTCTCTCCTCATGCCTCTTTCGTTTTTCTCGGGGAACAAAAGTACCATCAGCTTTTGCAATTATATCTGACTTGGTCTTTGCATATTGTATTCTCTGCATTAACCAAAAAATATACATCACTACTATCTGACTAGAGGAGACAGTAAATGGCCACTGAAATCAACAAATAAACGTAGAGAGTATGCTTTATAGAAGCAACACAAAACTGAGATGGTGAGCACCTCTAAAACCTATGCCAAACCCTAGCAAAAAACGAGGATCACATTGCCTTTTGCACGAACTAGTCACATGGCCTTATTTACCCATCACCAAGGACACCAATAACACTCTCAAATCTCCACTTTCTCAGTGATTAGTTGATTACAATAGTACTTCATTCCTACCTAAATGGGTTCAGCAGAAAACTACTTCCCATATTCGTTTTAATTTGTTCCCCTCAAATATATAAAACCTCCAATTATTACCCTTCCCCATTTCAGTTATACACGTGTACTTGACGGCTCATCATTGTGCTTTCATTATTTATAAACGTAACATCCTTGTTTAGTTTAGGGATATCTCAGAATATTTGAAGAGCAGGTTATGAAATAATTGGAAATTTTCTTTTGAACGTTTGAGGTTAAAAAGTTCTACCTATGCATTTCTGTTTTTGTGCATGTGTGTTTGCAATACTAAATTGACTGTACTCTAGGATTAAAAATATTTTGGTTCCCAACAAATAAATAGCTAAAAGTTCGTGGCCAGTTCCTGTAACTAGCTTGAAATGATCAGGGCGCAGCAATGGTAAGTACAAATTATCACGACAAGTCTGTCTGAATTATACTGAATAGCTGAAGTCAGCAGGAATTACTAATTCAAATTGAAAACTTGAAAAGTTTCTTAAACTAACAAGTGCAGAGCCATTTAATTACAAGTATTTGACACCAGAATTTGAAGCACTCTCCCCTACTTCATTTGTCTTTACTAATTTCTCTTTTGTGCTGGCATAATGTATAACTCTATAATGCAACCAAAAAAAACAAGCTAAAGTCCCAAACTGGCAACTACTACTGTATAAATATAATCATGACCGCCAACAAAACCCTAAACCCTATTATAAAGATCCCAAATTAAATTTTAACTTATCTGTTGCCCAACACATTAGTGACATTACAAAGCACCTCTAACAAAAACTGAAGGTGCAACAAAAATTTGTTCCAAAATCAAACTTCCAATACTAAATAACAAGGAACACTGAAACAAAGACCTCACTCTCTCCCACTAGCCTTCATATTAATGTAACAACTATAAAATGCCAACTATACAAAAACATCTATACTCCAAACTGAACAAATTAGTTCTGGCATTGACACAAGGATTTTGAGGTAAAGTTGAACAGAACCCTATCTTAATTGATCAATCTTTACTAATGATCTTCTTTAGGTTAGCTATACAATAATGCAACCAGATATAAATGACAAACCCAAAATCCTATTTGCAACTCCTACTCTCTTCGACCGGGCTTAATTATCACATAAATAGTTCATTTTACACTATCAACACCACTATCAGTCTATCACAGCAACCAATATTAATGACAAGCCCAAGTCCTAAATTTGCAACTTCTACAGTGCTACTCCCTCCACCGAAATTAAATCATATCATAACCAGTTCAATTACACTATCAACGCGACTATTAATTTTGAACAAAGAAAGTAACATATCGAACCCTAAACGCCAACACTAATCAAAATCACAAAATCAAAACCCAAAATCATAACAATTTTCACCACATACCATAGGTTTATCATAGAAAGGAAAACCTTGCATTTGACGAAGCGCATTAGTAGCAGAAGAAACCTCCTCAAAAACAACCCAAGCTTGACCTTTATGCTTCAACGTTTTGAATGCTAATACCTCAACTATCTTCCCAAACTGAGAAAAAACTGCATTTAGCGACTTTTTCAACTCTGGAAAAAATCAAATTACAGAACAATTAAAACCATAATCAATCAAAAGAAGAAAAAAATACAAATTGAAGAGATTAGGGCAAAATTGAAGTACCGTCGAGCTTGATTTTTTCATTGAGATTGTTGATGTAGATAGTTTGATTAGGAGGAACGTCACTTCCAGGGTTAGCAACTTCCGCCATTGATGTAGTTGTTTGAGCTCGTAATTTCTGTGTAATGGTGGTGTTGTGAGATGCTGCTATGGCTTTCTGCGCAAAATTGAATTGAATTGAGTTGAGTTCAAGTTTGAGAAGATGGAGAGAGAAATTGGGCTTTTTTTTGGGTTTTGGGGAATGGAAAGGTTGGGCCGTAAATGAGGAGGTGTGTGCTATTGGGCTGTGTTGGGTCTAAAGGGTAGAGTGAGTTTTCAACATCTTTAAAGTCAGCCTTTATTTTTTGGAAAATTTGTAAATTGCAGCCATTTAAAATTCGTATTTTGCAAATTACAGGCACTTAAAATTTTTTTTGCAAATTACAGCCTAAAAATTCGTATAAATTGTAAATTGCAGCCCGATTAAATTTTTTTCATCGGTTTACATGTTGAAAAATCTTCGATTAAGGTTTTAGGGGTCATTTTAGCTCTTAGGGGCCCGAATTGAGCTCGAAGTTAGCAAAAAAATAACGTAAGTGTCTCATATTTACAATTTCCCACAAATCGATACATTTTTTTTACGCAAAACGAGACACTTGCGTTATTTTTTTGCTAATTCCGAGCTCAATTCGGAACCCTAAGGACTAAAATGACCCCTAAAACCTTAATCGAAGATTTTCCGACTTGTAAACCGATGAAAAAGTTGAATCGGGCTGTAATTTACAATTTCTATGAACTTTTGGGCTGCAATTTACAAAAAAAAAAATTTAAATGGCTGCAATTTGCAAAATACGAACTTTAAATGGCTGCAATTTGCAAATTTTCCTTTTTTTTGTACTTCTATGCAACTTTAACAAAATACTCCTTCTGTCCCACAACATTGTAACATGGGGAGAGGAAACGAGTTTTCAAAAGAAGAGAGAGATAAAGGGGGATAAAGATAGGGGCTCATGTCTGAGATGGAAAGAGAGAAAACGAATGAACATGACTAATCAAGGTTAATTAGGTTTACATATAACATGAAGATCAGAGTTAATTAGATATAATCAAGTAAAATCAGATAAGTTCAAATCAAAAAAAAAAAAAAAACCTATAGTATACAAGATACTTTGTAATGTAAATTATATTGATTTATGATGTGATTGAAATTTGGTGTGTTTGACAGTAGTTTTTGAATGAGGTTTTAAAGTTTTAGACAAGCCAAAACACTTATTTCATATAAGAATGTTTGACAAAGTAGATTTTTTTAATACTTGTATGTAAGTCATTGTTTGAACAGCCTTAAGGAATTTGATAAGTAATCTCCTTATTTAGGAGTACTTACAACACTTATATTTGTGCGTAGTTTTAAGAGAACAATTGGTCAATACATGAAAAGGGATATTTTAACGTGCAAGCGTAATAAATGGTTTTATTTATAAAAAAAGGCAAGTGTTACAAGTGTTTAGAAATAGAATGAGTACATTGTATTGACCTTTGCCTCGAGGTTATGGGTAGACAACTTGGGAGAGTGGGGAGAAAAGTGGAGGATGAACCTATAACCTCCTAGATGAAATTAAGGTCTGTTTTGATTTGTTGAACTAAACTAAATATTTTATGAAAGAAGAAAATTAAAAACTGAACTGAACTGAATATTTTATGAGAGAAGGTAATTAAGAACTGAACTGAACTGAATATTTTATGAGAGAAGGATATTAAGAATTGAACTGAACTGAACTAAAATAATCTGAAAAGAAGAGGTCATAGTTATTAGTTTACAACATTATATTGTGAAACAAATACAATCATGTTCCAATTTCTCTAAGGCCATATTTGGAAAAAATAACAGTACCTATAGACTTTTAGATTTTTGAGTGCATGACTAATAGCTATTAAAACAATAGGATAGTTATTAACTTGTACTCAGTAGTTGGTAACGGTAATGTTGAAATATGCTTTGAATCGATGATTAAGTAGGTATACGGCCATGTAGTTCATGATACATGACCATGTAGTTTACACTACTATTTAGCAATTCAATGGCCGTGTGATTCTCAACATAAGACCATGCAGTTCGTGTGATGTCTTTCTTAAAATCTAATTTATTCACATTAGGGCTAGTTGAGATATAGTTGGGAAACAATTTAGAATTTTGCTAGGAGTTTCTTGTATTATAAACGAATAGTTTCTAACTCTCTACACAATATAAGATATTTGAAGTTATGAGTTGCAGGACGACCCCAGCATACCAACACCACAATAAATCATACTACAAGGGCAAAAATGGGCAAGTTTATAGAAATATAAAAACAAACAAGTGAGAGTGATAGATTAGAAGCAACAAAATTAGTGGTATCTTAAAAATCAAGTATAAAATAATAATAATGAGTAGAACAGGGTCGACGATCAAGGCAGAGTGGTCGGTCCTACGGGATAACAATAACCTTTGAGGCTTTGATTTAAATTTAGGAGATTCGAAAACGAAAGATACAGATACACAGAACCTACGCCGCTTCTTATTATTGCCTTATACTTTTACTACACGTGTATGGTGGATCACCAACATTTTTTTTTTCATTGTTTGCTTCTTGAAACTTCTACCTTTGTTCTCACCTCTGATATGATAAGTGTGGTCAACTTGCCTTCTGCTGTTTCCAACCATTACTATTGTACGAGTAGTATTTTATTTACATGTATCCTGTTATTTTGCTGCCTCTCATTACAGAGTAACGAAAGTGATTTATTATTTAATTCTATGGATTAAAACAAATTTCTATATATATGGCTGACCATTATATGATTCAATGTTATAGAGTCACTTAGTGAATATAACATTGATTACTTGGCCAATATTATAAATAAGGGTTGTCAATGTGATAGGGTTGCTCATTCATGTTTGCTTATTTGATAAATAAGCCGAGCTTGAACAAATTTTAAAGCTCATTTAATAAATGAGCTTGAACACAAACATAAATATGCTCGTTTAAATAAGTTCATTAACAACTTCTTTATTTATATTTGCAAACTACTCGTTTATTTATATTTATGAATTGCTGATTTATTCACAATTGTAAATTTAATTCTTAGGTTTATAGTTAGGATTAATTATTATGCTAAATTTGAGATTTTTAAATGCCAAAAGTACAAAGCTAGTTCATTACTAAGCTCGTTCATGAAACGCTCGTTTAATAAATGTGTCGTTCACGAACCGTTCATGAACATATAGTATACTCAATGAGGTGAGGTTGAACATATTTTTGAACTGACTTGAAAGCTCGGGATCGTGTTCAAACTCGCCTAATTTAAACGAATTTGAATATGAACAAGGTAGTACTCGACTTGGCTCATTCACATGCCTATTTATAAAGGTTACTTTGTTTTTTTTATAAGAGCCACACAGTGTGATTAGCTACACGCAAGACGGATTGATTAATATTGAATCTTACTAGAGATAGATTATTAATGTTTTTTGTTTGGTTGCTTCCATTTTTTTTTTAATTATTCCCTAGCTATCAACCAATATTAAATGTGATTCCCATAAAAAGAAAAGTTGATGAGGTAATATGTTTGGTTCAATATGAACGTGGCAACATGCTGATTCACAATATTTCAATTGAAATGGCAACTTTATTATTGGGTTTAAGCTTTCCATTTAGAAAAAAAACAAAATCAAATACTAACAGGAAAAAATTAAATGTTCAAGTTTATTAAGTATGATTACACAATACATTTTGTCTTGGAGTTATTTAGAGGGACCATGTAGTCTTTTGTAGTAGTACCACAATGATCAAAACAATTTGCTTGGTTTGTTTCTCTAAAAAGATCTTATACCAACAAAGGTTATATAAAGATGATACTGAGGACTAGTCATACTACACTGACAAAAGAATTCTTAGAAATTGGGATGTGAAATCCAATTGCATATTCGGATATTCTCCATCTTTGTTAGTATATTGTATGATTTTGATGATGATAAGATTCAATTTAAAACAAAATTTAATCCATATAACAAAAGTTTTATAGGATATTATAATTATCTTGATTCTTGATTCAAACTATGTATTATTGAATTAGAGCAGATCAAGTAGTGATGTCCAGTTGCTCCCCAAGGGAAGGATTATGAAAATCGAACTTATTTTACTGCTTGTACCTAATAACAATTTGTAGTTCTAATTAACTCTTCTATTGCTTTCTCCATCTTATATGTTTCCTTCATTATGAAATTCAAAATTGTTACAAGTCCATTTTAATTTATAGTTTGATTATAATTGGAAGATCATAATAGTAGTCCCAGCCTCATATTATTTGTAGAAAAATGATAGATATAGCCTTTAGGACTATGTATAAGAAGTTTAAAAAGGAAATATTGGAGATAAATTAACATTAATTACACTGATTTATGCATAATTTTATCGTGAATTCTTAACTTAATTACATTTTCAAAAGTATATTTAAAGCTCATATATAGCTCGGCTACATATATCATTATCCTTATAAGGCGATGAAAACCTCTAAAAAGACATATTGATAAAAAATAATAATAAGACGACAAAACATAAAGATAACTACATGAATAAATTATTATCTCCGTTTCATATTATTTGTAACGATTTAACGTGAGGTAGAGAGGAAAAATATGTAATCGTTGTAAATAATATGAATGGAAATAGTACTACGCATTAGTATCTGAGATCAGAGATGGCGATTACTCCGTACAATGGACAAATACGTAGACTCGTAGAGAAATACTAGTGGCACAGAAATAAAAGTCATCGTAAAACGACCTTATAGTACCCTTAGAAGGCGATGAAAACCCTAAAAAGGCCGCCCAAATTTGACCCAGTCCTTTACTAACCCTACTGAGACACCTTCGTTTCTCATTTCTCACCACTTGCCAATTACCACACTCATTTTCTTTAATTTAAAATTAAATAAAATATCTCCATATTATTACACTTGCACTCCTCATTCCTCAACCCTCTTCTATATATACCCCATTCACTCCCCTCCTAAAACCCATCTCAACAATCAACAGCCTCTTTCAATAGTGAAAAAAAAACAGAGGCCAACAGAAAGAGCTCACATTTTCTCTTTTTCCGCCGTCTTCGACGGAGGTTTTGGTGGACTAGAACTTCCTTCTACGGCGGCGTTTTTGTTTTTTTACATTTGATTCTTGCTTGTTGTATTTCTTTTGATAAAAAGATTTAAACGAAAAGAAAGTACCAATGGCTCGCTCTCTATCCAACGCTAAGGTTTTCTTGTCCCTTGTTGCTGACAACGTCTCCATTGCTTCTCAAAGGTATGCCCATGTCTAACTCGTCGTTTTTACTAATCTTTTCCTTTGAACTCGTCGTTTCACTCCGAGATAATTTTTTTAAAAAATCGTGTCAATTATTTTAGGACGGAGAAAAGTAATAACAAAAGTGATTAATGTTTAATTTAAAAATTGGAAATGAACAGACGAGGATACGCTGCGGCTGCACAAGGGGTGTCAGGAGTAGGAGGAAGTGGGAAGAAATCATCGAAAGAAGAGATCGGACGGTCAGCAGAGAACTCGTGGGTCCCAGATCCCGTAACTGGGTACTACAGGCCGGCTAATCGTGCCGCTGAGATTGATGTTGCTGAACTTCGTGAGATTTTTCTCAAGCAGAAGATTAGATCTCAGTAGAATTTTTATATTTGACCCTTAAAAAGAAAAACAAAAAGAAATGATCAATGATACCGTTCACGGTTTCGTGTGTGACCGTCGGTGAGATTATCAAATTGAAGATTAAAAAAAATGAGCGAGAAATTGTGTGTTTTTGTTACGCAGTATGTAATTCTTGACTATTATGTCCTCAATTCTTTGAGTGACTATGAAGTTATGAGGTTTGTTTCTTAATAGAAAAATAAATGAGAATACTTATCATTTACGTTTGGCAAAAGAATGATTAAAATCAAAAGATTAAATTAAAAATTAACATTAATTACACTGATAAATGCGTGATTTTGTTATGCTTTTTCAAATTAATATCTCTTTAGATAATATTTTAAATGCTTATCCAACACCCCGTAAATTAATTAGTAAAATCCTTTACATTTTACAATTAGAATTTGGACTTTTTTATTGTATGTCTGTTGAGAGTGTGCCCAAATTTAACGATGAGATTTTGGTCTATCGATTAAGATTCATAACATATGTTTGTCGTCATTGTCGAGTATGAAAATTAGAGTTGAAAATTGTGCTTTCCGTAATTTGTTGGAAATGTTGGCTGAATTGAAAGTTATCATCTTGAAATTGGCTGTAGTAGGCAAGTGAAAGTATTAAAGGAGTCTATTTATAATACGACTTGTTATACTGTATTAAGTTGCCACTTTATATGGATCACGTTCTGGCATTATTGCATACCAAATTATTTGGGCGGAACAGTTCAAAATGAGGAAATTATTAAATTATGTGATTAGGTAAGTTGCCTAATCTCAATAGTATTGTATACGTTATTTAATTTATATATACGTAATCAAAGATCTAGAGGTAAGAATATAAACTCATGACATAAATTAAATTAAGGTAGAATTTTTTTTGAAAGAAAATTAAGGTAGAATTTTATATAAACTCATGTGAATGTTTTATAATTAGGACTATTAATTGAAATCAAGGGAAATTTCTAAGTAGTTACTCTCTTTGTCACTTTTTAATTTTTACACTTTGAGCATTTTGTCTCATAATTTTTTTTTCCAAATACAATGATTTAAAATGATAAAGGACGTACACATTAATTCATGCTCTAGGTTGTTAAAGCATACGATTGAATCAAGGATGATGATACATGATACTCCCATAGCTGAACTTGGGGCATGTTCTGATTGACTGAACCGAAGTGAATTGAATATTTTATGAGAGAAGGAAATTAAGAATTGAACTGAAGTGAACTAAACTGAACTTAATCAAAAGAGAATAGGTCTTGGTAAGTTTTAGAGCGAATATATAGACAAGGGCACTTGCAAAATTCACATTTACTTTGACTAGGTCTTTGCCGCCTAACAAAGTTTGTGTATTGAAAGAGTACATAAATAGGAATTGTCAACTCTGGATGTACTCATAGAAGTTGCCTCTTTTAATTATGCTTTGACTTGACAATTGGATAAAGTAAACTTTTATATAATGCTTTGAAAATTTTCAAGGTATGTGGATTGTGGAAGTAGGACTAGAAGAAAACAACTACTGTAATTCGTATTATAAAAGGGTATCATACAAAAACTAAAGGAAAACATAATTTTAGTTTTCTAATTAGTGTTTGAGGGTAATTTATTGTCTGAAAATGGTTGAATAGTTGAAGTTTTTCATGTATGAAGAAAAATTTGTCTTATTTCAAAATATTGGTAACAACATGACTAATACTAAATATGTAAATTAATGTCTACTCTGATTTACTGAAATGAGCTGAATTGAACTGAATTGAACTTAACTTATTGGATCTGACTTGAACTGAACTGAACTAAACTGAATATTTAAGAGAGAATGAAGGAAATTGAGAACTGAGCTGAATTTATTGGAGCTAAACTAAACTGAAAATTAGTTGAACAGAACATACCCTTAGTGGATCGGATTAATCTTTCACTTGTCATACACTACTCATACCGATTTTAAAATACAATCTCATTTAAATCTATATGTGCAAGTTGCTCATTCTTATGCCATGTGACTTGAACCACGGCCAGTATTAACATACGAAGTATCTTTTTAGAAACCTGCTTTCGGTCATTTGTCTCATATACTCCGTATTGAACAATGAATCTAATGCATTATTTTACAATAGTTCTCAAAATTTGGACAATGAACTCATATATTGAACATGAGTACCATACATTGGTGTCCAGTTTCAGGTTTTGCTATTAGATTCTTAGAGTTTGAACAATGAGTCTTTCAGTCTCGTATTCTGATCACTGAGTTTTAGATTTTGGACAATGAATCCATGAATTTGAGATTCGAATTTAGACAACGGACTCCAATTTTAGTTGCCGAGTACGTTTAAAAAATTCAAATGGTGCAAATAAACTACGTAGTATAATGAAATAATAATCATATGAATGGTCTCCTTTTACGTTCTTAATTTCCATAGTTATGGTAATTAAATAGAACTCAGAAAACCAAATATAATATTATAATTTATTTCATAGCTATTAAAGTACAAGGATTTTATAGTTAGGCCTTGTTTTATTCACCTTAATTTTGCCGAACTGAAATTATTTTTACTGAACTGAAATTATTTTTACTGAACTTAAATTATTTTTACTGAACTGAAATTATTTTTACTGATTTTCTATTATAATTCTTCTTTAAGAAAACAGAATTTTACTGAACTGAACTTATTTTTACTGAACTGAAATTATTTTTACTGAACTAAAATTAATTTTACTGAACTGAACTTATTTTTACTTAATATTATTTTTTTAAGGTGAAGAGAATAGAACCTTACTTAGGCACTTGAAAAGTACTCAATAAACATTCAACAACATATAAAATATATAGCATTACAAAATGCACTCAATCAACAACATATAAAATACCAATTGACTATTGGTATAGTTGTGATTAGGACTACACTTAGTAGAGAGGACTCCGTGTTCGATCCCTTACAACAGCATTTGGGAAGGGGCTGGAACCTAACCACGCATAACTGATCCCCGAATCTGGATTAACGCAAAGGGTGAACCGAGTAGAACAACAAAAAAATAAATAAATAATACTCCCTCCGTTTTTAAATATTTGCTCCATTTCTCCATGCGCGGAGTTTTAGGAGAAATTGGAGAAAATAATAAAATAAGGAGGTAATGGGGTTGGTGGAAGAGGAAAAATTGTAAAAAAACAAAAGTAGTAGAGATAATTGAAGGAGATAGAGTATGAAATTAATATTGTTGGGTCCACTAGGTGAGAGGAATTAATTAAATATTGTCAAAGCTTTCCAAATAGGGAAATGGAGCAAGTATTTAAAAACAGCCGGAAAAGAAAAGTGAAGCTAGTATTTAAAAACGGAAGGAGTAGCATTACAATTATGGATAGGGCGGGAATATTAGGTAGTATAATTGAAGGAACTAATACTATATGTCTATATCTATATTCTACATAACAGAATAAAACCCACTCAATTAGTTATTTCCTTTCTTATAATGTTCATACCAATGACGAAACATATCATACAATTATGTTTTACAAGCATATTCTTATCATATAATGCAACAATTGCCTAAAAATATTCCTGATGTCCAAGAATTTCATAAGTTATGGATAATGATTCATGAATCATTACAACACCGTTCATCTCACTTCTCAATAAATCAAATATACTACGTAGTACTATTTTAAATTAGGCCAAATTAAGTGAATCAATCATAGATAATCTATTTTAATTACTCATCTAATAATTTGGCAGGAATAAAATAATAGCTATAGAGTAGACGTGTACCAATTTTCCCTTTATACGAGTAGTTGACAATTGACAGCTTGCCGGGACTATGCAAACATTATGTATTACTTGTTGTACTTCCTCCATTCTTTCTTTATTGCATAAGGAATTTTACGCTTCTCAATGCATTACTTTGTAAAAATTATAAAAATTTGATATTTGAAAAGTAAATTTTGAGACGAATCTAACTAGATCTCACATTAATATGTTTTTCTTAATGGATAAATCACAAACGATATCAAAGAAATTAAGTGAATAATGTAAAAGTCCTTATGGTGCAATAAAAGAAAAACGGAGGAAGTATATGTTTATTACTTTATCTGTTTTAATTTATTAATTTGTTTTTTTATTTTATATTTGCCAATATAAAATTTAATTTTTCTCTAAAAAAATATATGCGTAAAAAATTTAATACACCAAAAAAGAATTTGTATAGGTTAAAGATGTTTGATGAATAAAAATGCAAAAGTTTACATGTCAAAAAATTCAAGAATAAATGGAGTAGCTCGCTTAAAATAAATACTCCCTCGTTATAAAAAAATATATACTACCTTCGTAAAATGTTATATGCAATTTTGGAATATTTTATATCTCACAATTTATACTCCAAAGTTGCACCATAACATTTAACGAGATAATATTAAATTTGTATTGTATTCTAGATAAAGAGAGTATATGTAAAAATTAAATTTGAAGTAGGAATGATATATGTCATAATATGAATTTAAAATTGGTCAAATATATTAAAATTATGATAATTTTAAAACTTGACAATTAAAAGTAAAAACACATTTTTCTTATTTCATATTTTTGATTTTTTTTATTTTCAAACTATCATAAATTCGAGAAGAAAAAAGTCAAACAAATCCTTGCATATGTATGAAGAAATTGTCTTGGGACTGCTCATCAACTAATGTTGACTTTTGGAGGGGGCAACATCGCAACATACTCTTGGGGTTGGGAGCATCCCCTTGGTTGAACTTTGGTCAATGCTAAAGGTTGGAAGAGCGAAATTTTATAATGTACTTATACCTTAAAAGATGTTAGAAAAAAATATACATGTTGAGTCCGGAAATAAAAAATAGACAAATTAAGAACTTCCCTGAAACAAATTCGTCATACTTAAATCAAAGACCCGTCCTTCGGTTGTGCTGTGGTTTGGTACCCACTGCCTTCAATGCGAAATACGCCACCACCATAATTTGGATAGAGGTCAATGAGAGAAACGTCTTCCTTCGTCGCATCATCATTGTGTTACGAACACTGTAATCACTGAAAATATTGACCCTGCTACATCAACTATCGTCTGTCCTCAATCTCGTTCTTCTGGTAAACCTTTTTCCTGTGTATCTTGTCATTGTGATTATAGTTGTTTTTCTATAAGACACAGGTGTTTTTTGGTGACGATCACTAAGGGAAAGGAATCGTCTTCGTTCAAAGATGCGGTTAAAGACATCGATTGGCGTAATGGCACATAGACAGTTGAGGATCTTCTTCTTGGTAAAAAGGCAATTGGTAGTGGCTGGGTGTATAAAATCAAATACACAAACAAGTCGAAAGTGAACGTCTTAAGGCTCGTTTGGTTGTTCGTGGCAATCGACAGGTTGCCGGGGTTAATCATAATGAGACGTTTGCTCCTATTGCAAAAATGGGTACGATACGTCTCTTTCTAATTGTTGTTGTGTCTTTACATTGGAAGTTACATCAGATTGATGTTCATAATGCATTTCTTCATGATGATTTGGATAAAGTGGTATATATGCAATTTCCTCCAGGGTACACACATTCTGATACCTGTAAAGTTTGCAGGTTGCGGAAGCCTTTATATAGCTTGAAACAAGCCCCAAGGCAGTGGTTTTCAAAGCTGTCTAGTGCTCTACAAGATTTTGGGTTTTAAAACTCATATTCTGATTACTTTCTATTTAGCTATGTACAGGGAAGTGTATCTTTACATGTTGTCTATGTCGATGATTTGATCATTACAGGGCCTCTCATGATGCCATTGTGAGGTTTAAAGCCTATTTGTGCAAATGCTTTTATATGAAGGATTTGGGGCGCTTAAGTATTTTTTAGGCATTGTGGTTGCTCATAGTCAGGAGGTATCTTTCTCAACGAATTCTCAACAAAAGTACGCTTTGGATATCTTGACTGAGGCAGGTATGTTGGGTTGCAAACTCACTAATACTCCAATGGAGCAGAATCGTAGTCTTACACATACTTCGGGTGAGTCGTTTGCTCATACGGATCAGTATCGTCGATTGGTTGGACGATTGATTTATTTGTCAGTTACTCTACTAGAGTTGAGTTATTCGGTGCATGCTTTGGCTCAGGTTTTAAGTGATCCGCAGGTTTCTCTTGGGACGCGGTTATTCATGTCTTGCGCTACCTTAAGCCTAGTCCAGGACAAGACATCTTGTTGCTATTTATGAAGGATTTACGATTGACGATGTTTTGTGATAGTGATTGGGCGGCGTGTCCTTTGACTCGGCGTTCTTTGACAGGTTATCTTGTGTTTTTAGGTCACTCGCCTATTTCTTAGAAGACTAAGAAACAACTTATTGTCTCTCGTTCCTCGGCCAAAGCCGAATATCGTTCCATGGCAGTTGCATACTTGCGAGTTGAAATGGTTGAAGGCATTGTTGTTTTTTCTTGGAGTTAGTTGTACAAAGTCTATGCAGTTGTTCGTGATAGTCAGTCGGCCTTGGCATATTGCTAAGAATCCAGTGTTTCATGATCGTACGAAGCATATTGAGGTAGATTGTCAGTTAGTTCGTGATGAGTTGTTGAAGGGTAATATTTCTACTTCATATGTTTTGACGCATCATGAGTAGACAAATATTCTTACAAAGGCTCTTGGACGATAACAATTTGGGTTTTTGTTATGTAAGTTGGGCATTCATGATTTGTATGCACCAACTTGAGGAGGAGTTATATAAGTCGGTTGGTTTTATGTTAATATGTATTTTTGGCATGTATATATCTTTTAGGAGTTTTAGGCAAGTCGGGTCTCCTTTGTATTGCCCTATATATGTTGTCGTGAATATCAACACAAGGCTTAGGCCGTTTCTTCCAATTGTTCTAGAATTTAGCATTACGAGTACAAGTTACAACGACCACGTTGTATTTGATTAAATAGTCATGAATAAAAGTGGGTCAATTTAGTAGTTAGTCAAATTAAACAGGTAAAAACAACCAAGTATTGTAGTATCAAATACCCGAAGAGTGCCCCGGGCTGGTAGTTTGGGAAAAAGTATGAAGGTAGTGACTATTTTAGACTTTTAGTACTTCTTTGTATCTAACGATATCCTAATTATTTACACTAGATATTTGTTCAAAAACTTAGTGTAATCAATAATTAGATACTTGTATTTGTCCTGTTCTTTCTTAGCAGCCAGGAAACACAACATTACAGTACAGTGGCTAACATAGTAACATGGCTTATGCTTTTCTAGGTTGAATTAATACTATCTCCATTATTTTGTCTTTCCCAAACTCCAAACATCACACTACAATTATCTTGTCTTTATTTCCTTTTTTTAGGGACTACAATTATTTTGTCTCACGCAAAGATTAGTACTTAGATTGCCATAATTTCTAAAAGCAATCTCAAAAGATGCATCTCATATTAAACCGTTGACACTTGACAAGAAGATTAGCTTAATTGTGTTCAATTATTTCTTCAACATTTATAATTAGGTACTAAAGAAAAACTGATCGTAGTCACCTACTTCAAATGAATTGCCCGACCCAAAGTTGATATAGATTGCACCCTTAATTACAACAATATAGAATGTCAAAATATCGAAATTGACCTTCAAAAATTTGGATAAAGTCGAATCCAATTCGACATTTCACCCAGTTTAATCCATTTCTAAGACTAGTGGTCTGTTCTCTTCGGGTTATTTTTAGTTCAACTCTGCTTCAACAAGTTCAGTTTAATTCATCTTTGCTCCAATAAGTTCAGTTCAGTTCAATCAATCAGAACAGGCCCTAAGGGGGCGTGTATGACAAACTAACAATTAATTTTTTATTTTTTTTTCCTCTAGCTTTTGGATTTTTAGTTTGGTCAAACTACTAAAAAATATGTTGGGTAGTGGTTTTTTTTTTTTGTTAATTTTTAAGCTATTTTTCCGTCAAAAGCTAATATGAATAGCTTTTCTGTTGGCTTTTAGCTTGTTGGCCCACTTTATCGCTAATAAACAACTAATAACCACAAATTATTTTACCAAACACTTTTGTAAACAGTTGGGTTAAACAACTAACTTTAAAAGCCAATTCATACACCTAATAGTTCAGGTAGTCAAACAAGCCAAGCAAATAAGTCAACAGCCGATTGCCAAACAACCCCTAAGTAGTTTGTATTTATCCGATAACCTTTACATGCCCAAGTGCCCAACATTGACCTATCAATTATATTTCCAATTTTTTCCCAGTATCCTCAATCCAATTTAAGTTAAAAATATCTTTAAAAACGAATTTAAAAAAATAATCTGGCTAGGATTGGATAGGACTTTAAATTTTATCCAACTAACTTTCACCCCGAATCATAATCTAATTCACAATTGACCTAATCTGTCCATGCTAACTAGCTAACTTGATTAAAGGCTTATTGATGAGTACTCCATAGAACATAAGACATTAAATCAAATGTAGTTTACATCATTTACCTTTTGTAGTTGAAACTCATTTCAAGACTGATTGTGCTAATAACCATATACTGTATGTCTGTATCCCTAAAACAATTTCATGCAACGGTTCATCATTCCAGCTGCTGACAATGTAATTACAGCAGCAGCAGCAGCAGCACATGGAACCTGCTGGCCGTTAAATAGCCACTAGCCAGTCTCATGTATTCAGGCTTATGTTTTTCCAACCATTCGATCACATTGGGAAGTATATATCTATGCCCCAAGTTTGCGATCTCTTTCCTCACAGCCAAGAGAGTAGAATAAGATGAAAACTCGGGTGTGCAACAAGATCAGCATGTTATCATTATACGTAGCTCGTAAACTACTACCAGAGTACAAGCAACACCTCATACATTTGACAAATCTAATTAGTATTAATATTCTGGAACAGCAGAATCAGACCTTCTATAAGGGCATCAAAATCTGAATCCTTTGCAACAGACAACACATGCGGAATAGTTTTGGAACATAAAGGAGGGGAAGCTGAACAAAGTAGCAAAGATTTTTCAAAGTAACTTCAGTTGTGGAAAGACATGGGATTTTTGCAACTAGCAAGAATCACACAAAAACTTCATACAACAAACACATGATTAATTGAAACAAATGTTCAACTCCCTGCTGTGTTTTCCTAGAATGTTAGGCCAACCAAATTCACCTGCAACTTACACTCGGAATAATCCATTGCTCACATACTATAATGTATGCTCTATACATTCTACAGATGTAATTCCTGGATAATTAAGAGTCCATTATTTAAGGATGGGCAAAGCCAACAACTTCAAACGCCTTGGATTGAGGCAACTAAAGAGCAGAATTAAAAAAATGTTAACAGGAAAACACAGGCTGAGTCGACCTATCCCTGATACGGTGATACACCAATTGGATTGACACCCCAAATGCTTACAGTTTTAAGTCTGAAACCTCTATAGGATTGAAGACTGAAAAGCTAAATGGTTGAAGCGTCTTATGAAAGAAAAATTGAAACTCCAACATTGAAGAACTAAACAGGTAGTAGTTGCAAAAGTGCTACAGGCCCATGTGATGTATTAGTCAAAATCTAAAGCTCCTGTATACAATTGAGATTAACTAGCTTAACACAGCTTCATCATCTAGGATAAACACCTTTATATTGACCACTTAAACCTCCACAATGAGACCAAGGAAAATTGGAAACATTAATTATTAAGCGCCAGCTAAACAACCTGTAGCTCCATAAGCTCTTATAGTAACTGAGATACTATGCCAAGAACAAAATCATTGATGCAAGGGCAAAGAAGGAAATGTAGTACCTTAAGTGTGTTTAGATGGCTATCATGGAAGAAAAGGGAGGAAAGGGGGGCAAGGTAGGGGAAAGCGAGAGAAAGGAAAAAGGAAGGTGAGGGAATTGAAGGGAATGACTTGCACTTTCCTTCCAAATCTTTCTAACAACGGAAAAAAGGTGGTGGAGTATGGATCTCCAAACAAAGAAAATTGAATTCCTCGCTTTATTCCCCTTATTCAAATATAATAATACTAGTAGCTCCATTAACTCAAAGCAAGGTTCATTACATTAGAACTAAATCTACTACATCTAAAGGAAGCTAAATCCAAATAGCCACCTGATACTCCCAACGATAGCAAACATCCTCAAATAAGCAGACCCACCACACACACTACAGTAAATCAAGAAGGGGAAAGGTGAAGATGCAAAACTTAGATGCAATGCCCAACTTGTCTACAGAAACTAATGAAGCGTAAAAGCAAGTGATCTCAACAAAATTAAGCACCAACCACCAACGACCTATCTTTAAACGAAGATAATCTTATTGGATGAACAAGCTAAACAAGGAAGAAAATGAATGAGGGATATCAAATGAGATCCTGACTAAAGATACGCCTTAACCACCAAAAATTAAACACATAAACCTTATTTCTCCACCCAATAAAGCCTAAGAAACTGCTTCAAGGATGGAAGGGAATTGGGTGGGGAAGTGAAAGCAAGCTTATAAGTAATAGCACCAACCAACTCCATAAAACATATTTAAACCCCTTGCCAACTGCATATTTTGTTTGGAAAAATTATTTGACCTCATGAAGTAAGCCGCAAGATGAAGAAGAAACATCAAGTAACAAGCCTTTCATTCGCCACTACAAATCTTTAAGCCTATCATTCTTGATTATCCCTTTACAAACTCCAAAAAAAATGGACGTAGATTTGTATGAAGTGTAGTGACTTTGGTCTCATATGACTGAGAAATCCCATCCTCCACTCATTTCATTCAGTGCTGCGGTAAGGCAAGGTGCGGCCTACAACAAAGGAAGGGGGACAGCTTGCTTGCTGTAGCCCTTTCTCCATAAAACATACTTCTCCTCCATACTTAATTTTCTATCTATAAGTAGTGTACAGGTCTATAATAATATTTATTTGTAATCTAAGAACACTCTAAAAACTTTGAAAATTTCCTTTTCAAGCATAAGAAAGACTAAGTAAGCTACGCCCTCCGTTTTGAGGAATCAGACTTTTTCCAAATACCTAGCATCATCTCCATCTTTTCTACAGCGAGTACTAACTAACTATGCAAGATTATAAGGATTAGAAGTCTTGCTTCCAAAGAATCTGTACTTCCAACCAAAGAACATCCTCCAAACCCAAAGAAGTGACAGCAGGGTTAAGATCAGATTTATCAACAATCTGATCCTCCAGGAGAAAAAGATACTCTCACAAATGTCTAATCCTCCCAGCAAACTTGCGCAATTGATAGCTAATTACAATTTCTTACGAGGTGAAAGCAGTAACCCTTATCCCGCTCCCCCTCCAAGTCTACAACCATCAAGAACATCAGAAACAGCACAAAATAAACTTTCATTCAAGATTTAAACAGTATCAATCTTGTTCCTTCATCTACAAAAAAGTTAATTTGTAGCTGAACAGAAATAGTTTCCTACTCCTATTCCTCAATAGCAGAGAGATTACTCAACAATTCAATCAAACCCAATCATATTTTAATAAGTTTCATGATTAAAAAACATCAGAAACAGCATCACAACATCTTTTGATAAAAGGTTTGACATCATTCCTGTTTCTTTATTAACAAAAGGATTATTTGTAGAAACGTACAACATAAGCCTACTAGACTCCGACTAATTCGGAAACAAACCGGGGGAAGCTCACCAAACAGCCGCTTACCAACTAATCCAAGTACCAATTGGTAATTCAGTACTAACAAAGTAGCAATTGATAAACACATTCACAAAGTATGAAGTCAACCAACCATTAAAAACTGCACAAAATTAAAGCAAAACAGATTTATGATCATAATTTCTCGTTGTCCAAATTTACATACAACAAGGGTTAATTTAAATCTTTCTTGCTTAATCACAGCAAGATCCAACAACAAAAGGCAAAAAAAAAACCATTAAAATTAACCCCAAAACAAAACAAACCCACAAATTAAAACCCTCAAATCGAAGAAACAGAAGACCTAATATCATCATTAATCACCCTAACCTGATCATCTTCAACATGATTGACGCAATCTAATCCACACCCACATTGCGGGCACTCCTCGAAATTATCAATAGGGAAATTAGCAGAAGCAATTCCAACAGAAAACTCAAGTTCATCATCAGCCCTTCTAACTTCAACAATATTCAACCAAACGAAGAAAACCTTAACACTAACCCCAGTAAGTTTAGTAAGCTTGTTTTTTGAGATAAACCCACTAATTGTAGGCTTATATTTCAGCTGATAAGACCCTTCTAATGAAAAACTACAACTCCCATTTAAAAACGCCTTGAAACTTCCTGTTTTTTCGTTCAATTCATACCCTAAAGCACCTTTTGGAAGAATACCCATTGGAAAATTGAAGGTTTCCAAGGCTTCGTAGGCTGATAGATTGTCATTAATGGCGGCAACGGCGGTGATGAGTGAGACAAGGAAGAGGAGGATTGAAGAAGAAGATGCCATTGTTATTGTGAAATGAGGAAGAAGTTGTGAATTTTGATTTGGTACTATAGAAGTTTTAGTATTTTGGGGTGTTAATTTTGTCTTTAGTTGGAAATTTGATGCAACATATGGCTAAATTGATGTGCCAAAAGATGCAATAATATTGGTCTAAAATATTGGTGGAAATTTTGATAATTGACGTGTTTAATTGAGAGATTTTATTTGAAGGGGTAGTAACAGCTAAGCGAAGTTCTAGTCTCTCCTAATTAATTATGGGTTTGAAAATTAGGTTGAAATTATCGATTATGAAAGATGATAAATGATTTTGTTGCTCTTATCAAAAAATAAAAAACTGATCTTGTTGCCATATTGGTAAAATATTAAGGAGTAATAAGAATTATTTCGAATCTAAAATATTGTTTAGCTATAAGAGCATGTCGCCATCTAATGGCTGGTAACGAGTTACTTGAGATATTCTTCTTTTTTAGTTGACACCGTTTGACTTTTACCACGAGTCATTTACATTATTTACAAACTACACTTTGACTTTGTTTTGTGTTTATTGCTATGATAAAACATACTCATGTCAGATCTTATTTGAACCATCTCAATATATATTTTATACCAAATACATGATAGTTAGAAGTTTCCACTTTTCTTTTTCAAAAAAAGAAGTTTCCACTTTTCACTTTGAATAATGTAGCTAAAATGACAAATTTGCTTGGTGAGCTATTATGGCTGACAATAACTTGGTAAAAGGAGGAAACATCTTGGTAATCAACCCTTTATATAACAAGCTACTCCTTATTAGCTAAACTATTGGGATTCAAACTAATAATGAAAAGTAGCTTACATCTCATGTGACATGACAAGATAATTAAAATTTAACCTGCAATTAGAGATGCTCTTATACTCTGTTCGTCTTTTATTACTTGCTTTATAATACTTTTTTTATGATTTTAACATATATATCTTTGATAAACCAATTCTCATGTATCTCACAATTGTCTCACACCCAAAGTTTAAAGACCACAAAGTAAAGGAGAATCAACATTTATTCTCAAAGCTTTTTTGTTCCCCTTGTACTCAAGTAACTAGATCAATTTATTCCATCATTCCTCCATCTCCATCACACTCAATGACTCATGTATAGCACAAGTTCAAATACTACCTCCGTTACATATTATTTGCAACGATTAGACATTTTCCCTCTCTACTTTATGTCAAATCGTTGCAAATAATGTGTAACAGAGGTAAAATATAATACTTAGTATTCAACATTGAACCACTAATCTCACAAACTAAAAATTTGATTGAAGGGAGGGGTAGAAGTGTAGAACTTAAAGTTTCTACATAATTTTGAACTATTGTCCTACATACTACGTATAAGGATAAATGGATAACATAACACATATCTTGAACCTCATGATTCATGTCATCAATTCACATGTTGTAGAACTTGCGGAAATTCCCACGTGAAACACGCCTTCGCATTAAAGTTAGCAACAACTTTAAATCTAGTTCGTACTCACGGCATACTAGATGACGGAATACTAAACAATAATAGAGCAAGTCGATCAATCGATCTTGAGATGGTATCACAAGTTCGTAGTAATTCTTCTAAATACTCCGTAATAAGAGCTTCAATCGAAAAGTCATCACATTTATCTCACAATAAGTTATTGTGACACTATATAATTATACGAAATATTTCCTAATTGTAACATATCGATCAAGAAGTTGTGTGGTATTAGGTCTTCCCTGGAAGATCTATGATTTGATAGCAGAGAGGGGTGTAGCTTGGAACCCGCCATGCCTTCAAGAGCACCTCCCTGGATTCCGGGGATGCTTACTAGGAGGAGTCTCTGGCATGGTTTTCTTAGTCGAGTCTGATGGTTTAACCCGGCGGATCATCGATAATGCTATTATACTATATGACTTGGAACTTTTCTAATAGGGCTTCAAATAATCGTGTTCATTTACCATTTTATTTATCAACTTTTTGAAAGATAAAATAAAGTACATACCAAACATGTAAATGTATCTCATAAAGGAAAACAATGCTTCATCCCTTTACATATCATTTGTTATTACAAATCCTAAAAAAAGAACTTTTTGCATCATCAAAGAAAGTCTAACTTACTTTATCAAAAAAGAAATTAGGGAATCATTCATCATATATAATTATGATTATTAAAAATGTTCTTTATAACTAGAATAAGTGGAAAGTTAATCCAAATATCCAATACATTTCTTATTATTCTCCTTACATTTTTAATCTAATACTAGTACATAAAATAAACTAACTTACCCTACAAAACAGCAAGATTAGCATCATCACAATCAAACCCACATCCGCAAGACGGCGACTCCTCGAAACCTTCGAGGGGGAAGTTCGCGGAGGCGATACCGACGGAGAACTGAAGCTCACCGTTTTTCTTATCGACTTCGACGATACTCAGCCATAGAAGCAACACCTTAACACTAATACCCTTGAGGTGTGTAAGACGGTCTTTCGAGATAACCCCGGTGATGGTTGATTTGTATTCGAGATCATATCCTTCAATGGTGAACTTACATGTTTGAGGCAAATAGGCCTTGAACTCCCCCGTTTCGGGGTTGAGCTCGTAGCCGGTTACTCCATTAGGGAGTAGACCGACCGGGAAGTCGTAGCTCTCTAAGACTTCGTAGGCGGTTGGTTTGGCGGTGGCGACGACGGAGAGTGAGATGAGGAAGAGGAGGAGAAGGGGTGTTGTGGTGGTTGATGAAGACATTGCTAAGGATGGGTAAGTGAGTTGAGTTTGTGTGACAAAATGAAAAGTTTGGATGGATTGGAGTATTTATATTTGGTGGGATAAGGGATATTTGACACGTGTCTGATTATTTATGAATAGGTAGTTGATTAACGTGGACATAAGTGAATTTCACTCGAGCTCCACGAGGGGAGTAATCAGGGATAAATGACTGAATTACCCAGCTTACTATTCGTCAACAATGTCTTTGATTAATCTACCCTTGTAGAATAGTCATACCCTATTACAGAGTACAAAGTATTCACCATTGCACAAGGGTAAAATTGACTGCTTGGCTTGGTGGATGACAATTGACAACACAAGTCATCAGCGCCACAACCAAGGTGGAGTCCGTCCAAAAGAGGCTGATAGAGCGTACCACCAAACGCAAGACCAATCAGATATTGATCGAGTGGTTAGCCAAGACATGATTACATGTCTTTGCTCAACGATACACAAAAATGGAACCCATATCGGTAACTACTTGGCTTGTTGGCGCTACATATAAACACGCCACTTACTAGTAGCCACTGGCCACCACCAAAGCCAATTAGCTTTGTGAATGAGCACAAGTCTGAGTCACTAATAAAATAAAAAAAAAAAAAAACCAATAGTCTCAATACCAAGGTGAAGCTCAACCAATTATGCCCTGGCCATCAGTCCAGCAACAATATTTCACTGCCAAAGAAATAGTTTCTAATAAAAGCGGCAAACATGACGTTTGTCCTCCCTAGAATCTACTTACCTTGGTTGATCTATTAATGATCATACAAATCATGTGCAGGATGATCATTTGCAAGATATAGGTGATCAAACCATGTTGGATCATAATACATTAGACATGGCAGTCGATGATACTACAGCACTCTCAAACAAAAAGAAGAGCTAGAAGTTGATGACAGAGCTGCCAACAATTCTAGAATATATGAGAAAGATAGTTTGTATAAATACAAAATTATGTAATAACAAACTTCCCTAGATTCCAGGAAGTTAGTTATAGCAAGAAGTTTTTGTAATAAGCAAGTATTTAAGTAGCTTCTTCGTTTCAGACTTTCAGTGTACATTCATTCATACAATTTTTTTTTTAAAAAAAAAAAAAAAAAAAAAAAAAAAGAGGAGCATTCTCTCCAATTTGTTCTGTATTCTATTGTCAACTATTCAATGATCCTAATTAGAAAAGATAACATGATGTCATGGTCTAAAGACAAGAACCATCAATGGCAGCATTGTTAACATGTTTATTTGTAAAATGTCCCATTCTAGCACTGTTATGTTCAGCTTAGGCAAAGAAATAACTATACATTCATGAAAGGTTTAAGTTTCAAATACACCAAATTTTCCCAAACTTCTACTAAATACACCACCAATTTAATATTCTACATGTCTCCATTCCTAACAAAGTCATATACATGGATAAGTAAGCTTTCATTAACCATTATGAACAACCTTCTACTAATTAAGCTTATGATGTACAGTCATGTATTGCTCATATCTAGCCAAAAAAAAAAAAAAAGGACTGTTTATATATACTGTCACCATGAAAAAACATTCATGCTCCAAAAAGCTCTCAGCTAGCCTGAATTTTAACAGGGTAATGCTCTTTCATTTATATTTATGATGCCCTTTACTAGTTTACGTTGACCAATTTTACAGCATGACATTCCATTAACTTAACCGGCCATTCCCCCTTCCCTCTTGCATTATCCCATCTAATATATAGTCAAACCCTAACCTTGTTACCAAAAACTCCCATTTTCTCTGTATATAAGGAGATAACAAAAGGTTCAAGGAGTTTACCAAATAACTACCAACAAAAAAAAAATGACATGAATCAAAAACAAAGACTTCCCTCTAAAAAATCAAAACATTGCTGCACTGATGCTAAATAACTTAGCATAATCTAGCTGACTAGCTTCATAGTGCCAAGACTGCCAAGTGCCAACTATACGTAACAATAAATTGGTTGCAAAAGATTGAAGATCAAACTAAGTAAGAACAACCATTTCTGATTTATGCTTTAAATAATGTGTTCATCGTGACCAAAATTAAAATTTGACAAAGAATGATCATAACGCTAAATTGTAGTTAGCCAGGGAAAAATTAGATGACAAGATCAATGAGATAAGTACAAGATCTTGGAGCATGAAGCTAGCATTCTTTAAACAGTATGACTCATGGGGTTGGAAATGAGAAGGATGATGAGCCAAATTTAGAAAACTAATGATGAGCACACCTTAAAAGGAGGCAAAAAATCAGGGGAACAAACAATTGTCAAATGAAAAAGAAGTACCTTTTGAAGTTAAAGATCATAAATAAATCTCACTATTCTTTCAATGAATAAAATACAACATCAAAATGTAGGTATCGAAAACTACATACAGGATAAAATATCAAACATGATTTTACAAACAATAATATGTTTATTGGATCTGCATATATAGTTAGCAATGAACAACTATCAGGAAACAAGAACAATAAACACCTCCTCAAAATAAAGCAATTGGCTACTTACAGGTCTACGTCAAATCAGCTAACCTCCCTTAGCCTTTTTATCAACGCGTCCAGAGACTTCCTTTTGGGATTCGGCTTAGCTCCCCTGGTGGCGAAGAAGCTTCTATCTGATGGATCCCTTAGTTTCTCAGAAATGGTTACAACTTTCCTGTAGTCCAAAGCATTGTAAGTTTTTTCCCTGATAACAGGATTTAGGAAGTTCTCTGGGTTATTGCTTAAAAGCAAATTAACCAGCTGCCTCGACTCAGCTAGGCCTAATTTTAGCTCATTTGCTTCAGCTTCGGAGAGAATAGATCCCTGACTTTCTGCAAATGACTCTAATAACTGAATATCAATGTCGAGCCCTGTAATTGCATTAACATTAAACCTCTTCACTAAATCTCCCATCAAAGCACCGATAATCTTTCCAGATATGTGAGACATTACATCCTGCAGAACCCTCTTAAGAACTTGTGGGGGTAATATCTGCTGAGCAGTCGAAACCAGAGTCTCCAGGAATATTATAACCTCATTCACATACTCATTACCGCCCTGAAGAGGCTCGTCACCCAGCCAATTAACATTTTCCATCAGTGACATAAAACCATCTATCTTAACCTTAATCATCCCAGCAAGCATTTCTTCTGCTGCATCACGAGACTTCTTTAATGGGAACAGCCTCTTTCCCCTATCTGCCATTCTCAAAGGTATGCCCGAGAGCTGAGCAGCATGCTTAAAGAAGAAATCACAGGCTCGCTCAAACACTGCCATATTCGCAGCAACTTGCATAGCTTGCGAAACACCAAACACAGAAGTCTTAATTAACTTAACTAGAGCCTCATCAAGGACCTCACTCAACAATCTATCCAAATACTTCTTAACCACATCATAAGAATCCAACTGCCCACCATATGACATAAAACTCACAGAATCCTCAATAAACGACCTCACAATTCTACAACAATCAGGCACAGTAGTCGAAAAAGGAGCCACATAAGGAAAAGCCGGGGTAATATCTGAAGTCTGCAATTGAAAAGCTAACACATTCATAGAATACTCATACTCTTTCTTCATCAACATTTGCTCAAACTTATCAGCATTAACCGCATCAGTAATCTGCTTACGACAATCCGATAACAGCAATTCATGATACTTATCCCTATGCTTACTCAACACATCAAGCAAAGCATCAACCGGATACCCAAACCTCCTCAACGAAACCCCAAGCAAACTCACATAATCCTTGATCAACAACAAATGATTCGCGGTCTGCATTCGCGAAAACTGATCCTCTAACACAGAACACATCTTACTAATAGCCAATTCCCACAAATTCTCAACCTCCCATTTCGTAATCAACCCCCCACCAGTCCTCAATACCCTATCCTCAACAATGAAAAACCCAGCAATTTGCGCAAAAAAAGTTTGATGTGACTCTAAAAACGGTGTCATAGAAGATACCTGGAAATCAGAAGTCAATTGCAACTTTCGAGTTTCGAAATAATAATGCTTAAACCGATCCTCAGCTCCCAACGATTGATGAATATGAAACGCCCTATACAACGGCGTAAGATCAAACCCTAGACTCCCTCCATTGACATTCCCACCCCCATTTTCTCTCTTTAACTCAAGATCCAGTCCATCATCTTCTTCCTCCAACGCATAAACACAATCCCTAACACTCAACCTCGACTGCTCCTCCGCTTGTCGCTGCTTCATCCTCAACTCCTCCTCCCTTTGCCGAGCCGAAGACGCTTGTCCAATCGCAAACTGCCCTAAATTCCTACTCACAGCTCGAATCTCAACAAGCCAATCCCCAAATTCCTTATTCGCTTTCTTCTCAACATAAACCCTAACTGCCGGAATATGCTTCTCCAGCATCCTCTTCAATGTCGAAGATGGCGCAATCTTCAGCAAATTCCTCTCAATCTGATCAACACATCGTAGCGCCAAATACAACTGATCATTCTCAATATGCGCGTTACTCCTTGCACAAAGCTCGACAATCTCAACGCAGATCTTCACCGACCCCAAACACATCAACAGATTATTGTTAATATTCCGAGCTTCGATGAAAGCATCGAGAGAGCTCAACAATGGCTGCGCAACTGACTGAAGATGAGCATTCGACAACGAAAGTGACGATTTCAGATCATCGACATCGGAGAGAAGTGAGCGAAGATCATCGACTGCTAGGATGAAGTCTTGGTAGTGAGCTTTGCAGACTTCTTCGATCTCCGATTCCTTGGAACGAGTGAAGGCTTTGAGGTTGTGGAGGAGGAAGTCGGGTTTTCCGGCGGCGAAAGCTTTTCTGACGAAGGGAGAGAGGTCTTCGCCGTTGCAGATGGCGGAGGAGAGGAGGAGTTGGTCTTGTTTATCGGCGCCGGAGGAGTTTTCGCCGCCGTCTGCCGGAGATATTCTCCGGCGACTTTTTGTTGACTGCATTAGAGAGAGAGGGGGAGGAGAGGGAAAGTGGGTTGAAGGAGGAGAGA